GCAAGGCGCAGGACTCCGACAATGTGGCAAGGGATGAAGTAAACAAGTTACAAATAATTCAATTTAATGAAAATTGCAAATTCAATTTGAGTTCCAATAAATAGAATGCAAATATATTCTATTTAGAATTAAATTGGAAATATATTGCAAATTCACATATAAATTCAATTTGGAATTTAATATTAGATCCAGAATAATCAAAGATAATTACAATTACAACGAAATTAAATTAGAATAAATTTGCATTACAATTTGATTATAATGAATTTTAAAAATACATAAACGCAATTTAGAATTTAATTAGGTTCAAATTAGAACTAAAAAAGAAGCCTATTACATATTCAAAACAAATTCAATTTAAAACTAATTAGATCCAATTAAATTATCAATAAAACTAGAAATGAAACAAATTCAATTAGAATAAATATTGGTTTAGAATTTAGTTAAATTGTATTTAAGTCAAAATTCATAGAATTAAATTAGAATTGAGTTAATAACTATTTAGAAATGAATAAGAAATAGTGTTTGCCAAAAAAATTAGACCCATGGAGAGGGACCCAGGAGAGATTGGGCAGGAGACATAGGTCCAACAAGTTCAGACTCATGGAGGGGGACCCACAAAAGGCTAGACAGGAGACACGAGTCTGATTTTTTTATTTTTTTGTTTTTTTTGGTAGACCAACGAAAATACAAAAAATCAGACCCATGGAGAGGGAACCAAGAAAACCAAAAAAAACAAGAAAACAAAAAAAACAAAAAAAACAAGAAAACCAAAAAAACCAAACAAACAAAAAAAACAAAAAAAAACGACATCTATTCCTCAGACAAACATTGGTCTATTGTTTTTTTTCTTGTTTTTTTTTGGTTTTCTTGTTTTTTTTGTTTTCTTGGTTTTCTTGTTTTTTTTGTTTTTTTTGGTTTTCTTGGTTTCACAGGCATTGCAATCTTGTTTTTGTTTTTTGGTTTGCATGTGTCTTTCGGCCTTTTCACACAATGTAAGAGACAGATGCAGTGAGAGACAGATGCAGTGAGAGACAAATACTTTAAATATTGCAAATTTGCGCCAAAAAGCGCACTCCCGTGGTGGCCTGTTCTGTAAGTTTCCCTAAGCATCTAGGAACCAAACGAATAGTGCGAGCGCTTCTTCAAAGAAGCTTCCCCCCGTCGCCTTTAGGGCGGCGGGGGAGCTTCCTTGAAGAAGCGTGAGCTATCCTGCGTCCTGGGTAGGAGCGTACTAGTAAGGTACTTAGTAGCTACCTTCAGCTTCTACTAGCTACCTCTAGCTACTAGCTACCTCTTCTGGCGGCCTGCCTCCCCTTTTTATTTTCGCTAGATGCTGGAGCGAGCAATTGAAGAGGGTGCAGCTGCTGGATTGACGGACTGGATTCTGCTCCTGCTTCGGCGAGAAATCCCGAGTGGCTGGATTCGAATGCAAATGTGTTGGGCTTTAGTTGTTTGGTATGCTTGTGTTGGTGAAGTGGTTATCGTGGCCCACTTGTGAAATGCACTGGGCTGTTGTTTGCATAGCATCATACTGTAGCGTCGCTCCCCACAGCGAGGACAAACAACTTTTCATGGGGAAGCAGGCGTTCTTGAAGCTGCAGGCCTTGCTTGGTAAGAGTCTTTCGAGGATTGGATGTTATTGGAACAATAAAATCATCGAGCCACTTTGTTGTCCCATATACTGATGATCTCAAGACAAGCTCACTCATCCTTTTCTACACCTGGAGGTGGCTGTTGCGGCCACAACAGACAGCATGGAGGAGTTGTCCTCAGTTTGGTTTCTTGTAATTGAACAGGATTGTCGTGTGTTGTGTTTCCACAATGCGGAGCAGCTGAGACCATCCACAAATTGCTTGCAACGGCAAAAGAAATGGGATGGCCTTCCGACCACAAGGACTTGCACATGTTTGTCCCACTTTGCATTGGAGAGCATGCCATAGTGTAGCCTTTGTGTAGTTTTTTGCAATACAGTTTTTGGTACAGTAGGTTTTTTGGGGTACATTAATGTGATTATAGTTATACTGTACATGTACCATACCTGTTACTGTACATATGTCAGGCGCTCTGCCTGGCGAGTTGGGGGAGTAGGGAGCAAAACTCACCTACCGGCTCGTGAGGGGGACCTTGAGCCCCAAAAGGTTACGGGGTAAAAACCTGTCATGACGAGTCATGAATGGTTTCTACTTACTTAGTAACCATTGAAAACACACCGCACAGCAAAACACACTGTTTTCCTTGCAGGTTGACCTCCCTGCCGCCACCCACTGAAGGCTCTTCAGTGGATGGTATCTCCTATGACAGTCAGGAGGTCCACTTAGCAAAGAACTTTTGTTGTTTCTTTGCCACTTTCGTCTTTTCGACTCTCTTCAGCTCCTTGTGCTTCTTGATCTCCTCGAACAGGGTCTCACTCTGCTGCATGAGCTCATCCATGACAAGCCAACCCATGTTCTGCTCATCAACTGGTTCTCTCAATCTCTCGTCGAAGGCATCGAACTCTAGATTTGTCAAAGCGTCTGCCAGCACGTTCTCTTCACGTGGGACCCACGTCAGCGTGGCATACGAATCTCTGACTCTTAAAGTCTTTGCCAGCTCTATCACCAATAGCGTGATTGGGTACTTTTGAATGCATTGCCCTTGTTATCTGTAAATGCTTCAGCCAGGATCTCAGCCCTCTCATCTCTCCCCTTCAGCCATTCTCTTGATGGCTACTATGGTAGCCGTCAGCTCAAGAGCCGCTATCACCCACTTCGGATCACGCCTTCTGAAAAAAAAAGCCAAGGGGCGCTGGCCTCTGTCACCTCCATCGAGAACCAGCAACACAGCTTGGTATCCGCAGACTCCTCGATCCAGCCTCCAATCCAGGCCTTGTCATTTGTCGCTTTGGCGTCTGTCCAAATACGAGCAGTCGACCTTTGCAATGGGGCCCTTTGACCTTGAACCTTCTCCATCCTGCCACCCTGTTCCACGACAAGATGAACAAAATAGCCCAGGGTATAGCAAGCTCACCTCTGTTGCCCTGTATCGCTGAGCTCCAGGCAGAAAGGGGGCCCAGGAACGGCTTCTCCCCGGGCAGCGGCTGCGAAACCTAGCCGCCCAATGCCAGCTGCAAACCCTCTGTACGACACTTGCTTTCGCACCCTCAATGAGCTGATCCAGGAGATCATCCACGCTGTCCTCTTCTCTGAGAGGCCCATGGTGTAGTTGCCATAGTCTGTAGTCAGGCTTACGCACTCCTTCACCAGTCCGCCCCTTTGCTTTGACCACTTGACTAGTGCTCCAAGGGCCGCCATTAGCCCGAAGGACAGGACGCTGCCTATCCTCCCATCTCTCCCGGCTCCCAGCACCTCCAAGTCATCTGCATACAGCAGCATGTCGCACTTGAATGACGGACCAATGACCAAGTGTGTGAGCCGCATCAAAGCCGCACTCAACCACACCCACCAATAGGGTGTCGAAGCCAGGCCAAAAGTGCCCACTGTGTTGACATACACAACCTTCGAAGCGCTTGATACCCTGCATGCCAGGAAACCCCACTCGCTCCGGTGGTACTTGAACCTCCGGTGTGCCTTTGCAAAGTCCCAACCAATGACAGGATCACCTGCTTCTCACCCTCGTGCTGTTCCAGGAGCGCCCTTTTCTCGCGGGGGCCAGGCATGCGAACCTTGTTCCTGCACTTGATCCTATGGTTGACCCTCACCCCATGCGTTGCATCATGGATGACTCTCTTCTTGCCAGTGATTGGGTCCTCCACTAGCACTGCTAAAGCCGCCAGGGCTCTATCCTCACCAAACGCCTTCACGAACGTCATTCTCACCATCAGGCCATCTTCAACCTCCTGATCCAAGTACTGCCAGAGGAACTCTTCATGCTTTGCAGCGGACACATAGTTGTCCTTCTGCCAAACTGCCTCCTCCGATACCTCACCGTCGAGAGCCCACTTCACCTCTGGCTGTTCTCTGAAACCAGGTCGTTGCAGAGCTCACGGCCAATGGGACTGATGGTCCCATTCCCTCCTCCTCGCCGGCGTACAGATAGTCCACCCACTGCATTGCGGTCAGCCGCTGCCCTGGTTTGATTGTTATTGATTTATTATTGTTTTTTGTTTTTGTTTGGTGTTTTTTTTGGTGCAGTTGTTGGCACTCACAGACACTGTTGAACGAGCCACGAAGGAACATGGTTTTATACACTGTAAGAAATGATTGAAATGATTGGACGACTCCTAGGCACCAGCGCATGTGTGTTGGGTAAGCTTACCCTAGGCGTCGCTTTGCTAGATTTGATATGAGAATCAGCAGCTGTACTGCTGTAACAAGAGTATGTCCCAAAATGAACATGACATCCTGCTCAGCCATAAGGGCTACCAGAAAAATATGCACGTGCGTAGGAGATGTGTAGGGTCCCCACGATGCGACATGATGTGACCGTCCGAACCAACGAAACTCTTGTTTGTATATTACATATTTGGATGCCGAAGCACCATTCCAACAAGGAGAACGACATCGGGATCTTCAATACCCGGTATGAAGAGCAGAAGATATGAGCCGCCTTCAATTCAATCTTAAGAACATGCAATCAACCTAGGCAAGCGATGGCCCCCTAAAGCGATGAGCATTGTTTGGTTACAATTCGTCCCTACTATCAAGAAAGCGAACACCTCCCCTCCAAGCTGAAGCCTAAAGTTGTCCAAAGTCCAAAACTGTAGGAAGCGATGGGCCCTCCAAATGTATGTGATGCCATGAGATTAGACAAGGAGGTTTACGCCCAGGACGGTCCCGGTTTGCCTCCAAGCATTTTGAGGGGACACCAAATTCCCTGTGAATAACAATCCGAAAGGGACTTGGGGCATTTGAAGCTTTCTCATCGGTTTTGGCGACTGGATGACAGACATACATAACATTACATTATAAATTATTAGTACTTTCAGCAGCGTCCATTTGGCAGTCGTATCAGTTCACACACATGTCACGTCGCTGCTTGACCCCGTGGACAGATCTTGAGCAGGACCTGGTTGTGGCACAGGCTCGTTTGGCATTTTTGGAGTTGCGCAGCGACCCCAGAAAGGTTCAAGATGCCGCCATGTTGCACTTGGCTATATAGGCTATGCAGCTTAAGTCGAAGGCTCGATGTCCACTTAAACGAACAGGATCCGCTTTCTGCATGTTCCCGCCACCAAAGATGTGGACTGAACCAAGGTGCCGCGATTGAGGGCCAGGACCAAGAACTTCTGCACAACTGCTTGGAGAAGGCCGACGTGTTTGGAGCATCTCAAAAGCAAATGCTGCTCAAACTACGGTTCTATTCGAGGCCAAGGAGTTTAAGATCGACAAGGAGGAACTGCTCAAGGGAGATTACAGGTGGGGGGGAAGCATGTCTTCAACATTGTGTCAACTTTACTGGCTGTTTGATGGGAACTTCCGAGCAACCCCCAATTGACAAAAACTTTCACCCAACCCAACTCCAAAGTTTTCCAAAGGGGATATTAATAGTTCAGAAACCTCGTGGTGGGGACGTATCGTCGAAGCGCGGATGGTTGCTGCCACCGCAGGGTTCTTCAATTGCCACGGTTTCCAGTGAACAGCAACCTTTGCAACTTTCGCTGTAAGCGTGCATGCATTCTGAACTTTTTTTTCTGGTCTCAATGGATACGTTAAAAAAATTGGAAGTAACGTGGAGGTCCGTGTGTGTATATATAGAATAGAAATAAATAACACACAAATTCAGAACCCAGCCAGAATGACTAAACCACCAATTACTGTGAGTAGCTGAAGAACAGGCCAAGTAGACATATATATATTATACTTATACATGTATGTAGGATCATGTAGGTCCACATAGATGTAAAAATATAGTCGATTGTTTTGAGTATTTTAACTTCGTGATGACTTAACCGATGTTCTTGAGAACGATCCGTTTCGGGACCTTCATTCATGGAGTGTCCAATGGGAGGTTTAAAGTTCTGGAGCTGGAGAATGCGATGAAGGACTTTGACCGAGAAAGACTAAGGCACCAATCATCCACTTGGTGAGACTACTACCCTGATTTGGAGGATAACGTCTAGGAGATAAGACTATTTTTCTGACATCCAAGTGTTGACAAAAAGGTTGTCAGCTTTAAAGCTGATCAACCTTTGGAAAACATATACTCCTGTGCAGTCATGAGCTTCTTGATTTGCATGTTACATGTCCTGGGGCTGCAGATGGGTTTCTGTCAGGGATGCAATGATGGATGCGAAGGCGCCAAGCTTCAGATGCCCAAACTTGGAAGCTTGCTACTAGTGGTGGACCTGTTCCTAATAGCGACGCACTTCGTTACTAGTAGCAAGAAGCTACTATGAAAACTTGGAAACGGCTGGTTCTGCAGTTTGGTATCAAAAGCCAGTGCCCAGTGGACATGCACAACGGGAGAGTGCACTTGTTGAATGGGCCTCACGTTCTTAATTCAACGACGCCCTACAGCCTGATAACATTTGACACATCCCTGCAACTTCGATTTTTGTGCAACAACTTTGAAGTTTGGTCCAGCAAACTTTGGCAACATGCCAAAACGCTCACCCTTGAAGCGAAGGAAGTGAATGCTCCAAAGCACATGTTTATCCCGGCCAAGCGGAAGCTTGCAGATATGTTTCCAGAGGTGTGGTGCTTTTGGGTTTCTTCTTGGCTTATGAACTGTTTAAAGCCTTGCCTGGATTTGAATTTGCTTTGCCTAAAAGCCAGGCATACACCGATTGGATGGAGCTGGAGCTTCAGGAGGTCAGGCAACTGCAGCGACGCTATACGATTTGGTTTCAACCAAGTACAATACACGAGCAAGACCTAGATTCAGGCTGTTCAGGACCAGGTGACCCATGTTGACCAAAGTGTTTTGGTCTTGGTGAGTTTTTTCCCCACCTGTCAGGTGAGGGTTGTTAGATGTTGTTAGATTTTATGTCAGCTGTCGCCAACCTCCTCCTCCTCCTCCTCGTCCTCAACCGCGAGCCTCGGCTGGTAGTGTTCCCGGCCAAACCTCAACGGCGAGGGTCGCGTGGCAGCGTTCCCCGCCGGACCTCAACCGTGAGCTTCGGCTGGCAGCGTTTCCCGCCGGACCTCGACCGCGAGTCAGAAGATATGCTAGATAGAACGCCAGAAAGACTGTCCGAAAGAATGTCAGAGGACTATTAGAAGACATGCCGGATAGAATGTCAGAAAGAATGTCAAAAGATATGCCAGAAAGAGTGTCAGAAGATATGCCAGATAGAGTGCGAGACGATGCGCCAGAAAAAATTGTCAAAATAATGCTTCAATATACACCATAAATAAATTCTGTCAGATTGAAGTGTCACGGTGGGGGTCACTCGAAGTAAAGTAGTTATATAAAACAAAATAGCAAGTAGCCACCTTTGTTATGTTTGTTTTTTGTTGGGAAACCGTGTAATTTCAATAGCTCCTAATGGTCCTAATCACCTAAACACTAGAGGTTCTTGATTCCCTCCCCCTTTAAGTTAGTTGTCGGAAGGAGGAACATGTTTGTGCCAAGGTGTGCTTGCCTGAACTCGAGTCCTAGTTTCCCTAAGAATCTAGGAACCAAATGATTAGTGCGAGTGCTTCTTCAAGGAAGCTCCGCCCTCGGCCCTCAGGCGCGGGGAGTTTCCTTGAAGAAGCGTGAACTATCCTGTGTCCAGTAGCTAGTAACTTACTTAAGTTCCTAGTTTACCTTTTCCATAGCGGCTTGCCCCCCTGGTCTTAAAAGGGCGGCATGCATGTGATGTGCAGTGGCGCACTCCCAGACCTGAAGCGACCCGTGCTTTTGTGACTGCAGGTAGACTCTGGTAGACCGGTAGACCAATTTGTAATTATTGAGCATGTCGTCATTGGTTGGCCAACATCAGGCACTTTGCTGAACTGTGCCATCGACTTTCGCTGACAACCAAACCCTATTGCCAAGGTTGGCAGTGTGGGGAGGTGTTGAAGATCCTGCCGTTCTGCGTGTGTGCAGGTGTCAAGTCAACCTCTTGTGTAGTCCCGTGTCACCGCCCTGTCAATCATGGTCAGGAGGAAGCAAGCAACTTGTTTAGACGATGCAAATGGGTGGGCCTTGTTGATTGCCTTGGTACAAGCATTTGCTTCGTAGCCGCTGGCAATGGCGGCTGAGTGCGCTGATGAAATAGAGACGCATGCACACTTCGTGTTGGCACAGAAATATGTAATTGCCTCATCCTGACTGGCACTGTGTGTTTGAGTCGGTTCTGATGTTCCGGTTGGCGCAGTGCTATCCAGTATATCTCCGTTCGATTCGGATTTTGCAAATGCCATGATTGAAATTGTCGCGCAAGTTGATTCAACCCTTCTTGTCAAAAAGTGCTTGACAAGGCCCGTAATTCCCCGATTGCCTCATGTCAACCCAATTGTACCAGGCTTGGACGGTGGTGCAGTTTGTTATACAGGCTGAGCAAGCGAGAAAGGAACGCGTGATGTTCTCATGCAGCGCATTTTTGAAGGCTCCTCAGTGCATTCGCAACTTGTTGAAGCAAGGTGCCAAGGATCCCTGCTGGAATCGTTGTCAAAGACTCTGCTGCGTTTCCTGGCGTGGTTGCTAAGAGAACAGGACTAGTGACTAGCAGCATGTGTTTAACAAACTGAAGCTCGGAAGTCCTTGCATGCTCTTGATCCACGTATGGTTGATGGGATCCGACGTGTGATCCCACACTTGACCTTTGAGCTTGTTGGATGCAAGGATAAAGTAGTTTGGATCCACCCTTGACTCGATGTGCACATGTTGGAACCTTGGGGTACTCGGGTACTCGTTTGGGCGGTTGCAACTGACTAGTAACTAGTAAGAGTTCACGATTGCAAATTCTCGCTTGAGATCCACTTCTGCAGAAATGGAGAAGCGGTCCACTTCCTGTGAACTTGAGCCCCGCAAGCTGGATTCGCGGAATTTTGCTGTTCCACCGTTTCATTCAATATGTTCCAGAGGAACCTGGGAGGTCCGTTTTTGAATATGCAAAGCTTTGCGAACTTGTGCGTCAATTCCAAAAGCACTCTTTGGGTCTACTTTTTGGTGAGGAATCTTGTTTGGGTATCAGCGTTCCATTGGGATTGCCGGGGGCGACTGGGGGATGACTTCTTGGAAGCAGCGTTGCCATGGTGATTTGGCATTGACATCGTAGCAAGGTATGACTAAGGCAAAGTACGTTCAAAATATGAGGGGCAGATCAAAGGAATCAGCTGGTGTGGTGGGTCCAGGGTTGACGTCGCGGGATTGTAACGTCAATCAGGCCGTGTCCTCGTTGTCCTCTGAAGCTCCTTCGAGCGAGCTACGCCTGGTGCCCTGTGTTTTCGTGTGGTGTTTGCCACTGTAGCATCAAGCGCCAAGCCGCGCATTCGCTTTGTTTCTGGACCGAGGATGCGTGCTCGAGGAAGCCATGAAAGCAAATGCACCTCTCTTGGCGAACCGATCTTGTCGTCATTTGGTTTGTGTGTGTGATGTTTGTGATATCAGCAATGAGGTAGATGAAGACAGCTTGCGGCCCGAAGCTTAGCACACTAGAGGCGTTTGGCAGGAGCCGGGCTTGTTAGCATGATGACAGAAAGCCTGTATGGCCAGAACTACATCCATAAATATATATATATATAATCCATTTGTGTTATAGTATTTTTCTTAGCTTCCTGATGTGCCTTGCATAGCATCCGGATCAAATGAGATCTCAATCCGGGGTTGGGGTTATGGTTTTAGGGCTGGATTTTGAAACACTTTCAGCTCTGCATCAAAAAAGATAAGTTTCTGGCTTGAACAGGAGAGTCCCTGGATTTCAATGAAACCTGGGCTAGAGGCTTTCGTGGTGCAATAAAGGTTGCCAATGTTTCATGTGACAGCAACGTTTTGTCTAGCGAGAGCAGCCCAGTATTTCATTGTGAAGATACTTGCATACGTGCAGTGAGGCCAGCGGAGGAAAAGTCATGCCCACAGCTGGAGTGACATCAGCTCTCATGTTATCATGTCCTCTCATGTTGCCACATTCATACCCAGTGGACAACCTTTGCACAACCGAGGCTGACAAGGTTGGAACTGGTTGAAGCGGTCAGGGAGACCAAGTTATTCAGGGAAACCACTGTGAAACCAAGTATAAAAACCTGAGGGACCTGAGGGTTGTTTCTTCTTTCAGCTGGTACTAATGTTTGTGTGGATGAGGCACGGATGGTTGACCGGTTTGAAATCGAGCGCATCCTCAACAATGCGGAAGCCTACGGCGTCACACCTACACCAATGCCTGTACTGTACAGACTGTGACCGGATTTGCTGATGTGCATAATTGCATGCTACATATCTAATTATATGCTTTCCCAACGTTGTCTCAACACTTTTTGAGGTTGGAACCTAGCGGAAGGAACTGTTGGCGCACTGTACCAGGCCTTGTTGCCACGCTGGTCGGTTGACATCCCGTGGAAGGTATTCGTCCAATCTTCTTGTAAGGCTGCCGACGCGCAAAGGAAAGAGCTTGTTCTCCAGGACAGTCGGACACCTCACAAGCTTCATTATCTTGTGTTCAAAACACGCCTTACAGGCACCCTGTTTGAGTGCATACATGTGGCTTAAGGTCTTACTACTAGGAGCAAGAAGCTACTAGGAGCAAAGGGCATCGCTACTAGGACCAAAACGCTACTACGGGCTCCTGGCCTCGCTACTAGGAGCAAGGACGCGTTCAGTGTGTCATGTCATCAGGAGCGGGTGACAGACTGCATTGAGAGCATGAACTTTGCAGCAAGGAACACAGCTTCTTTGTATTTGGGTCTGGCTGAAACAGTGAGTCTGTTTTCAAAAGAATCGTTTGTAGCCTGAGGTAATCTCATTGGACTTGGACTCGATCCGCCACCACGTTGAGGACGAGACTGCTGCGGATTTAGGATGGTTTTGGGGTACGGCGATTACGGTTATGCTCCTGGGTCCTTACAGTGAGGAGTCCGAGGAACTGGGCTTGTTGGACCATGAGGTGCTTTTTGTCTCAGCTTGGACAGACATAAACAATTGTCGCTGTCAAAGCCCTTGACCTTTGCAGATTTGGTAGGTCACCAAGAAGGCTCTGGAGATTCTCAAGGACTACTCTTAGAATCACGATAGTTAGTTGGCTCAAAGTAGCGCAACGGCTTGGATGCACTCTGACTACTGAAAGAAACGCACACGGTAATGAATAACGAACCTGCTGAGTCTTAGAGCTGCCAATGATAGCTGCTCTGAGACTTGCATAGTAAACGTGCTGGAGAACACCTCCGCACAAACTTTCAACTGATTGTGCCCTGGTTGACCAAAATTTGGCATGGGGCATCAAGTCATGTTGTTCGATACCATTCAATTAGAAGAGGGCTTTGTGTATGGCTTTGTCAGTCGCAGGTGGATTCCTACGAGGTCTGCCTCAGCAAGCACTTCGAGTCTGCAATTGAGCGGTTGAATCGGGAGCTTCCACAGGAACACAGGCGAGCATGGCGGAGCGACGTTTCAGCAGTGTGTTTGCAGAGATAATCATATTGCATCATTCCTTAATACTGCAAAGGAGAATAACCATTGGCCAGCTGTCGTGGGCTTCAAGCTCATATAAGCTCATGATTCATGCTCATGATATCTCATGATACTTTGCTTTGCAACTGCCAGGATTCTGTACAGGCCATTTGACATGAAGAACCACGCCAAGCACGAGCCTCATCTCAAAGTCCCCCTTGGATCGGGTTTGAAAACGTGATGGTGGCGACTCAAAAATGAATGCACGCCACTCAACCAAACTCGAGTATATAATAGTTCATTGTGTACACGTTTGGCTGTTTGTTTTCGCCCATTAGATAGCAACTTCAATGTTGGACGTGCTATCAACTCGGAAACAACCAAAGAATGCTCGTACAAGCGCTGGAATCCAAGAAGCCTGGCAAGATGTTTCAAGCGGCAGCTACTCGCAAGTCGCCAAGGTCCAACTCAGCCATTTTCGAAGTATTTCAACGCTTGGCGGAGTCTGTGGTGTCAAGAGTGGCACGCCTGACAGTTTTGTTTAGATACATTTCGAGTCAACAGATCATGTAAGTTGCTCCACATTGCTCCGTGGCACCAGGGCTTTTTCCATACAAAGATGGGCTTGCAGGGCCTGCCAGAAAAGCTGCTTGGCTTGCAGTCGGCGTCGGCATTTTGCCTTTAGCTGCTTTAGCTGCAGACAAAACTAACTAGAGTGGTGCTTTGCATTTGCTTGCTTTTGTACTGAAAATAACTGTGTGATACTGTGTATAAGTTTGCTGGCATCAAACACTGATGATTGCGGTTTTGCCTCCTTAACTGCAGCATTTCACACTATCAGGGACACATGCCAATGAAAGTCGCTTGTGAACCATCAGAGTCATGCAAGTTCCAACATATACCAATGAACAGTTCCTTCAATAAGAAAGACAAGATGGGTATTCATACGCAGCAAGACAGCCGACCAGCCGAGTTGACCTGTCGTAATTTCAATTTGCTTGGATCACCGCTCGGAAAGCAATGACTTGATGGGCCGCAGCTTCGCTTCGCAGGAAGCTAACATTATCCCATGCAGGCAAACAAGGCACCTCAGATAGCTTCACTCTATGTGGGTGCTCAAGGCAGCAAAAAGAGCATCGCAGCATCATTCTCAACCTCCAAATTTGGAATGCTTGAAACACTTGGAAATAGTTCCTGTTCGTTGGGCACACATTGCACGTTCTTCGACATCATAAGTGTTGCTATGTGCTTGAGGTGACCTTCATCCTGATGTTACTGAAGCCATGCTGTACCTTGGACCAAAATGGGGTTGAAGAGAATGTTTGAACTGCCCTTTGGACCGTTTCTCACACATACATCACTTTCGAAGAGGGTCATGGTTGTTTGCGCAGCTACTTGTATATTTCTCAGGTTGGTTGATATTTCTCATGATTTGTTTGAAGACTGAGGTATGAGCTTTTCAATCGCATTGGCCCAGTAGCGTCCATACGTGTTTGCCGGGACAAAATCAATCGAAAGTCGTTGGGCTATGGCTATGTACCTTTGGCAGCAGTGTTTGCCGCTTCAAATTGAGAAGACAGTCGAATCGCTTCAATGCAACTCGAGCCTCAGGTGAATTTTCACAACTTCAGTGATGCAGAGACTGCTCTGGATACCTTGAGTTACACAAATATTCATGGCCGAAGCTGTCGCTTGATGTGGAGCTACTCGTCCGCAAATCAGAGCAATCCAAGAATCCTGCTACCACGTTTCAGTTTGGCTGCTGAGCGGAGGCCAGCGAGATACTGGATCTAGAAAGGTGCGCCGACTTTGTAATTACTATATATAGTTATTCTACTGTACCTTCGCTGGAAGACGCCAGCACATAGAACGAATATGAACGAAGGTTGTCTTCTCCGAAGCTGCATTTGCATTCCCATCGCAGACCAGCAACAGCAATGTCTATGTCGCAAACCTGGACAAGAACATCGACAACAAGGTCACTCCACCTCAACTCTTTGCTGCCTTACAACGAAAGGGGTGCAGGATGGTGCAGGTAAAAGACAGAAAGCAAGGGACACGTGCAAATGAAGAGAATGTAAGGACGCTGATGGAAGAAAGAGCAGGAAGGAGTATGGACAAGTATGGACAAGCAAAAGAAACAGGAAACACCTGGAAAATGGTTGGCACATTTGCAACTCTGGGCACTTGAGAGAAGCACCTTCAGGCTCTTCATGATACCTTCAGTGTTTTCGGCGACATTTGTTCCTGCAAGGCCTGCGTAATGCCGTTATGTTCGTGCACAGACGGGGAAGTTTGTTTTGCGTATACCATCTGTGGGTAACACTTGGGCCTCCAACAGTCCGAAGTTCTCGCCCAGGTGGCGGCAGATAGACTGGGAAATTCATATGGCTATGGCTTCGTGCACTTTGAAACCGCGGAGGTCGCCAAAGCTAGTGGTTTCTAATAGCTCATCGTCCGTTTTGTGTGGGTGTGGATAGGGCAGGCAAGCTAACTTAATATACCTAATCAATCTTAATCAGGCATGCAGAAGAACTGTCGCTGTAATAAATTGTTGAGACTGAGACTCGAGTGTAAGACTCCTCTGCAAAATAGAGTAGACTCATGTAGACTCGACATTAAACTGTGTGTACGCGAGACCTTTGGATTTTTCACTACCAATTAAATATGACAGTTACATTTGCAGGCGGCTCAAGATGCCATCACCAAGCTAAACAATATGGAAGTCGGCGGAAAGCGTATCCAGGCCTGGCAAGTCAAGGTTTTATTGTTTGCAATCATTCCTGCTCTCAAGCTTTCCGTTTCGGGGCTTTTTTGGAAGTGTCGATTTGGCAGTTTCTTGGAGGTTTGTTTGTGCGAGAATCGCAAGGATGCCCAAAATTCCAACGGTAGTGAGCCAAGTTGTTTGAAGGAAACTTGCACCCGTCCTGATTTGTTTTTGCTTCAGGGGCATCTGACTTTACCAACCTCTATGTGAAATGCTTTCCAGAGCATTGGACTGAGGCAAGAAACACTTGAAAAAGGCTTTTGCTCATGTTTTAGTCCAACTGCACACCCTGACAGGAGACCTTGCGAGAAGAATTCGGCACGTTTGGCTCATTGACAGGGGTTGCAGTCCGGCCCTCATGGTATGAGAACCAACGGAACTTCGTCGACCCAATTGTTTCCTCCAAGTGAAGCGCTTTTTGCAAGGTGAGAACAGACGGCCAAGGGCGCAGGTGTGCGTTTGTCAACTTTGAGCATCATCAGGATGCGAAAGAATGTGTGAAGGTGTCGCTTGGTGACAGGAGAGTATACATGAAGGGACATGAATAAGCACAGGGTTATGTTGCTAGAGTTTGGGAAATTGACATGGAGTCCATTGCTTATCGCAAGATTTCAACTGAGGATGCACATGAAAGACATGAGGAGTCCTGATGAGCACTCCCAGGAATGTTGCAGCTTTACTTCACTTCTTCATAACATGTCATATATATATACAGTAAATAAATACACATACAGTATATCAGTATTTTCATATTTGTTTTTACTGTAAGTCTTTGCTTGTTTGCTCTGATGCTCGAATTCCATCAGGACGAAGAAGTAGGAACCGATGGTCACCCATTGACAAGACTCTATGTGCAACGTGTCGCTGGACTGCACAGCGCCTCATTTTGCCGTCCCTTACATGCATCACTTGCATTAATCTTGATTCAGGCCCAACCAAAGGCGGAGCGTGAACGCATGCTGAAGAGCCAGTATGCATACGACGCAGCCATAAAGAACAAAAAGTCGGAGGCCAAGACGGCCAGGTCCAGGTGTGCAACACGAATCAAATTTGTTTCTCTTTGTCGTGAGAACCGAGGTCAATCAGCATCTCGGCAGATGTTCGAACAGATTCAAACATTGATTAACAGTCAGTTCAGTCGCAGTTGTGTCCAGTTGGCAGATTCAAACAGATGTCAACAGTTCCTGGACGAACATGGGAGGAACTAGATTCTCAATGATTCTCACACACACACGAGGCTTGTATATAAAGGGTCTACAGGAGAACGTCAGGGACGAGAGCTTGCGCTCGATGTTTGAACCATTCGGGCAAGTCCTCTCCGCAACAGCACCTGTAGATTCCAGTTGCTTGGCGGCACTAGGATTCACCCCATGTTTCTAATATCTTGCTATGTACAAACTGTATAATTACACCATTGCCAGACGCTGCCACCTATGGACACCATTGATAGTTAATTATGTTGCGACAGTATGTTGTTGAATAGGTTATGCCGCTTGCATGTAACAAACACCCTGAAAGATAGACTCATGCCATGGCTTTTTTTGAACTCGCAGACGGGAACTGCCGGGGCTTTGGCTTTGTAAACTATGCCACTGTGGAGGAGGCTACTAAGGCACTGACCGCCGATCATAACGTCTACCGCTCGACCAGCGTACTGGTCGAGACCTCGTCCCTCCTAGTAGCGTCCTTGCTCCTAATAGCGATGCCCTTTGCTCCTAGTAGCTTCTTGTTCCTGGTAGCGATGCCAGGAGCCCCTAGCAGCGTTCTTGCTCCTAGTCTCCTAGTGGCATTGGAGCCAGATGTAGATGCGCGCGTGTGCGAGTCGTCATAAACCTTCCTGATGATGGACATATTTAATTGGCCAATCGCATGTTGTGGATCATATTATTTTGATGTGAACGACTACCTGACTCATATTATTTTCGGGTAGGGGTCACGCCATGAAACCATGTGGCAAGAATAAATAAACAAAAATAGATATATGTCGGAAGATGTTGGAAGAAAGAACAATTATTGTCATTGAGAAAGCCAAAGACGGACAATGAAGGACATATGTGCAAACCCAGCTCATATTCCATTCAGGTGGTTCAGGTCGATGTGTCAATTCAAAGGTCCTTGGACGTCGACGATTTGACTTTCTTTGGGAAGGTATACCTATGTTGTTTTTAGGATTTTTTAGGTGGGCACTGCTCGGCACCAGTTGTGCGTCCGCGTAATTTGATGTGATTTGAGCGTTGAAAAGTGCAGGAAGGTCGTCGCGCTGTTTGGTCTTAAATGATCCGTCTTACGTGCCCCTAAAGGATCCGGATGGCAAGCAGGAATTCCTCTAGTTTGCTGAACATGTTACTGTATTGTTGGTTGGTAGAGGACGCTACTAGGAGCAAAGGGCATCGCCACTAGGAGCAAGGACGCTACTAGGGGCTCCTGGCCTTACTACTAGGAGAAATGTTCGCTACTAGGAGCTTTTTCTTAACATTTGCTTTGGAGGACCCCGATGTCAAAGGATTAGTTTTCAGATATGAAACCACCAACCAGATTGCCGTGCCGTTTGCGACAGGCTGTCTCCCAGATGCACTTGAAGGCAGTTGACTCAGAGCGCTTGCTTCTGCAAGGTACACTGGTGCACCCAGACTGTCTTATAAAGCAAGGTCATCGACGGCAGGGCAATCCACGTCGACTTAGCTGAGAGCAAGCAGGCCAGGAAACAAGACTGTTACCGCAGGGCATGGCTGGTACACGTGTATCAAGTATTTTCAAACATGTGTTTTTTTTCAAGGGCACTTGACCAAAAAGTCACCATTCATAGCCAGGATCGCGAGGCGCGACAAGCTCGAGCACACCAGCGTTGCTTGGTCAGACAATGAGTTGTAGCCGTGATTGTGCTTCAAGAACTTTCTTGGAAAGTCCATGAAAGTCTTGCCAGCAAGGAGTCCATCAAAACTATGCTAGAAGGCTTTTGTTCACCAAGGCTTCGCGCCACCAATGCGACCAATGATGGGTTCCCTGGCACAGATTCTGCAAGTGGTTTCATTTTTGCACAGCTGGGCTGTGTTCATAAGGCATGGCAAATCGGGGAAAGTTCCCCATGGGCCCCACTATGGGTCCAATGGGTGCCTCAGCGATACCAACACTGTTTGAAGTGACAATTGTACGCAAGCATGCAATAATTCATTCTCTAGTAGGTTAGAGTCGGAGGCCATTGCACGATTTGAGATCTCAGGTATGAACAAACCTGGACCTTGCGGCATGCCAAACTTTGCCAATCCCGTATCGTTTCCTGGGCGTCCGACCCGGCAGCTGCACTACAAAATTTGTTTTGGTTTGTTGACCCAACTATCCCGCCATTTTTCAGCCTGCAATCCTCAGGCATACGGTATATATATATATGTATAACATCCTTGAAGACCTACTGAGTCCTACTGGTCAAGTGGAAAACCTGCCTCAAGGAAATTACTTTGTATAATTGTTACTCACTTGCTCGTCCCTCAAGCTCCTCAAGCTTTTTAAATTCATACAATGACAACCAGACAACCATGGCAGCTTCCAGTAATTGGCGAGGCCCGAAACAGTAAACATAGTGCACAGTGCAAAGCTTGGAAAGATGCAGCATTCTACTGGTTATAGTTGGGTTCACAAATACAGGGCCAGGAAGAGGGTTCACAGACTTCGGGAAAGAGCAATGAAGTATGAACCATGCCAAGCAGAGGGTGGCTCTCATTGTTTGCATAGCTCGATATAGCTCGTTTTTGTAAAACATGGTTAGTGCATGTTAGTGTAGTAGCAGGTGTTGTGTAGAGAGGTCTTTGTGCAACACGTGGTTCGTGCAAATGCAGGTGTTGTGTGTAAAGTTTGTAGGTGTAAAGAGACATCATGGCACAAAAGCTTAGCCGTGTAAACGCTGGTTAAAAGCTTGTTGGTACAAGAGCAGGTGGTTGACGCGAAGTATGTAGAAACCAGTTGGTGGGTGTGAAAGCTGGTTGATACAAAGGCAAAACACGTGCAAATGCACACATCAGGCAAACGCAGTAAATGACTTTTTGGTTGTTTGAGCACTCGGTGCAAAGGCTGCACAAGCAGGTGTGACTTCAAAAGAGATAAAGGACAAAGCAGCAAGAGCAAGAGGGTAAGAGGAAGAGAAGGAAGAGGACGTAGAGGACAAGGACAACGAAGAGGAGGAATACGTAGCTACCGGGTAAAGGAGGGGCAGGAAAAGCAAAAATCGGGGCAGGAGACGGTTCTAGATTCTAGTACAGAACTCTAGCCTAGCTACACAATTATTGTACAAAGCTTTCAACAACAAGAGCATCAATGTAGACATGCTGACAAGGCCGGCAGACAAACAAGCCTGAAAACGAACAACATGATGGTGCTCTTGGGAATGAAAGGCTGCCATTTTTGCAGAAAAGTTTACCACATGAATATGAGATGAGTCGAGGATGGGATATTTGCCTGGAGGGCCTGGAGGATTTGGATCTGGAGGTCCTTGGAGTCCATGTTCACCTTTTGGACCTTGTGGGCCTTGTGGACCTCAAGCCTGTAGCCCGTGTGGCGCTGGTCCATGTGGACCATGCCTGGGTGGGCCGTGTCCTGGTCAACCCTGTGCGGGATTGAGACCTCGAAGTATGGTATCTCAGCAGATGAGTCATGTGACAGGTTGAAGATGGTTTGAGGCACAAATGATTCAGATGACTAGCAGACTAGCAAACTTTGAGTTTTGGTTGTGGTTGCAGTTGCCGTGTCTCAGGTGACTCCAGCTACGTTGGCGTCCATGTCACCTCCCATGCAGAAACAACTCTTGGGAGAGACTCATAGTTGCAGCTTTCTGTTGCAAGTTTTCCTAAACATCTTGGCTCGAGCGCTTCTTCGAGGACGCGTGAGCCATCCTGCGTCCTACCTAGGAGCGTCCAGTACCTATATAGTAGCTACTAAAGGAGCTTACCTCTTCTTTGGCCTACCCCCCGGGCAAAAAACATATATAAGTACATATATATATATATAAGTATATTATAACGAATCTGAAGAGGCCTTAAATTAGTTATGCAAGAGAACTACTGTTCGGAGAGATCCTTTTCTGCTTTGGGGTGAGGAAACTCTACAGCGAGATTGCTCCACTAAATCCGGCTCATGCTGGCAAAATCACTGGCATGATGCTGGAGAAGCTTGGCTAAAGTTGGTTTGGTCTACGATGTGGATTTGTTTCCATATACTCAATGTGTCAGTCAATGTCAGAGGACTTGATTTGCCTTGTATTTGATCCTGGACTTGGAGTCAGGATGGAAAACAGTGATATTCTCACGCTCATTGAATCTCCAGAGCAGCTCCAAACGAAAGTTCGGGAAGCGTTACGTATGCTGGAACGGGCTTAGGCCCTTGAGCCCTTTAAGCTTGATCTTGTGTGACACATGTCGTGACACATGTGGCTGCCTTGCAGTCTGTTGTCCTCGATGTTGTCAATGTGCAAATAGAAATGGGTTTGATCTTGCAGTCTGTTGTCCTCGATGTTGTCAATGTGCAAATAGAAATGGGTTTGATGTCCTCTCCACAGGAGAGGCGACAATTTGAATTTCACGTCGTTTTTGTGACGAGTGGTCGCTTACTTAGCTGCTTAGCTGGTAGCATGTGGATCTCTTGGCTGAGAAGATGTAGCAGGCTTGCAGGCTTGAGACGCGGTATCGCCCTGATTTCTTCTTTGAACAAATAGAGACGTTGCTGGTGCAAAAAAGTCGGTCGTGCTGTTGAAGTTTCTGAAGCTTTTTGCCGCTCACTCGCTACCACTGAAGTGTGGCTCACCCTGAACGTTGTTTCTGATGGTCCCGATCAGGTTGCAGACTGGTGTTGTTCGCACCAATTGTGTGGATTGTTTGGATCGTACCAACGCCTGGTTCCTATGTTTATTATTGATTTTCGTTTCATGAGCGCCGCTGAACTCGGACTGGTAAAGCCTCACTCCCCAAGGTGCTGCAATTTTTCGTTGGCCTCGAAGTACTCAAACAACAGCTGACAGTCAATAGCTGAGAACTTACAGTGCCACCTGGAAAGCTAAAATGTTCAAAGCAGCAGGCTTGCCCGGCAGATCAATTCAAGACAGCTACTATCATTTTGTGTCTTTGCCCATGTTGACGACCTGCCCCCAAGACTCAGAAATGCATGAATTTTCGGTAACTCAATCATTTGAACCTTGGAACCTGTCGAAAGCAGGTCATGTTTCCTTAATACATTTCCTTAATACAAGTCAATATTGATTGTCTCAAGTGATAAACTTGTTCGCATCCGCTCTCCTACTCTCCTTTGTGATTGCTATGGCTGGAACTACTTGTAGCAGCTCTGATTGGTCGATTTTGGACGGTGCCGAGACGGTGACCTCCTTTACCATTGAACCCTCGGAGGCGGACGCCCGAGACAAGGAGATCTGCCTGCTTGGTCTTCTGGGGTGCGTGCAAGGATCCTCTCTTGATCCAACCTACCAACACCCTGCCGCATATCTCGGCACAATTGAAGGCCAAGGCAGCCAAGCTGACGGTGAATGAGATGTGGCAATGTGGCCCTTCTGGGCAACTTTTCAACTTTTTTAATCCTGCCGCAAGTCACCAGGGAGCTCGTTGAATGGGTCATTCAGATCTATGTGGGTGCCAAAGGCCAAGCCCACCATGAAACCATGTTGCGGACACCACACCTGTCGGTGCAAGATCAGGGGCGGGGCAACCGCTGCAACGAGCAGGAGTGACAATTGGAGGTCTGGCACCTGAATGTGGTCCACGGGAGGGTGCAGTGGTCTTGCCCCAACCTTCCGAACAATGGCGAGGCGGCCAAAACTGAGGCTGCAGTGCCTCCAAACGACTTGAACAAGGTGCCGGAACCATGCCAGGACCCGATGGAGGGCTGGGAGCGGAAAGAAGGAATCCTGGAACGTCTGGAACTTTTTCCCAGGGGAAGAAGCGTCGGGGCCGTGGCCACAAGAGCAAGGACCGCCTGGACAAACACATGCGTGTGAAGAAGGAGTCGTTGGATTTCTTCAAGGCCATCCAGATGACCGCACCCCAGACCAAGGAGCAGTGGCGTTTGGGAAAGCCTTTGCGGCCCACTCCTTCCTCACCCACACACCACCTGCCGGAGCAGCCGATCCAGGGCTCCGGGCCACATCCGGGACCGGTCCGCTTGCGACGAGCGGATCACCTTGCCGGTGGAGAAGCTCCGTTCCATCGAGGCGGTCTACGCGAAGCTCAAGCGGCTGCTGGACATTCGACCAAGGAGGACGTCAGCTGGCTCCATCTCGCGCAAAGAGGGAACCAAACACTTGGGAGGCTCAAGGTCTTGAAGCCGATGACAAGCAACAGTTGATGCACGTGAGACAGTGAGACCCTGAAACCATTCCTGGTTCGCATAGGGGCTGCTGAGCCCCTGTGACACCTGGACGGGACAGGCGCCTTTGGCCTTTCATGCTGATGCTGGCGGCTGCTGCCTTTGATCTACGACCTGTTTCGGTACGTCTGTGACCTACCTCTGAGTAGTTTTCCCCTCACTTGCGACCTATGGACGCGTTTCAGTGCGCCCGGCGTTTTAGTGTGCCACCCCAGTCCTGCTCACCATTTTCATGAAATTTCAACCCAAGAGCTTTGCTGTTCGTTAATTTAAGGGAACTATATAGCATTTTTGTATATAACTGGATAGCTTGCGCTATAGTATTGGCCTTATTGGACTCGCTTCTCTATGACAGTCACCGCAGCTTGAACCAAAAACGTGCTTGGCCAAAATGCAACCGTCGGCCAAGTTCGGCCGCGCTTTGAGTACAGACGATGGCTTTGCACCCTGAAATCACGAAGGCAATTGTTGTTAATGGGGCGTGGCTTGAACTCGACCCCTCATGAAATACGAATTTAGATTAATAGCAAAAAGTTGCATGACTTGCATCACCAAGTCACTAGCACAACTCATGTGGGGATTGTCGCGAGGTTCGAGGGTCTTTACACGCGATGGAAAGAACTCACGATTGTTCACATTCAGACTAGAAACTGAAAGCTGCGACTTGGGAACGGAACCACAGTAGTGAGGTTGGGGGGTGTAATGACATTCGAGAAAGCACCGTAGATAGAAATCAGTTTCTTGCCAGCAATGCAAATTCACTTGAGTATCGTCCAGAACCTTGTTGTTCATATGGGTTTGTTTTTTTGGCGCGCGCTTGTACTTCCATGATGTAGCGCTTGGAAGTTCGACTTGAGCGGTTCATACCCTCGAATCACACCCTCAAGTAGGAGTAAGAAGTAGGTGTTAAGGTGAAGCTTTTGGTTGGTCTTTGTGCATTGTAGATGCACGTCTTCTTGTGGGAAGAGCAAAGGCACACATCCCAGGGAAGAAGAGCAAAAGATCGCTTTCTTTTGATCGACTGGCAGGCGGTGCAGCCAGCCCATTTAAGATTTTGTTTGAGCCATTCTCGGAAGATCTGCAACAAAGTTCGCGAACGATCTATCAAAGATCTTCATGATATATGATTTCCTTGCTATCATGTTCTATCGACATGTGTGACATATGAGTATGATACCATGGAAGTACAAAGCAATCCTCCGGCGTAACCGGTGGGCGGAAGTGTCCCCACTGTCACGGACTGACTAACTGAACTGAAAGCTTAACGTGTTCATTGCACAATCCTGTCAGTAAAAGAATGTCCAATTCCTTGCCCAACGGTCAGAGAACAACCAACTGAAACCTTAACGTGTTCATTGCGCAAGTAAAATAATGTCCAATTCGCCCAACGGTCACCAACTAACTGAAACCTTAACGTGTTCATTGCACAATCCTGGCAGCAAAAGAATGTCCAATTCCTTGCCCAACGGTCACAGACCAACTAACTG